GTGGTGGTAGTTATCTTGGAGTGATCGGGCGTGCTTGACTTGGCGCAACTGGTCCTAGGCACCTATATCTTGAATACTTACCCAAACCATAATCGTACCTCCCTTTACAGAAGCCCCTACTTTTATAGCCTTTCGGAAGCTGGAGCTTGAGGGGTTGGGTATCGCCATTGCACGAGTTATCGCCTTGAGGCGTGGAGGCCAACTGGGTCTTTTAGAAGATTCCAAGCGGCCCAGGATTTGCATAACGAAAGCGAGGGCCCCGGGCCCCTTCTGATCGGAGCTTCCTAGATACTCGGTTTAGGGTTTAGGGCGAGGTCCCTCAAACTTTAAACGCCCAATCCGCCAGCCACCCCTGTGGACTTGCGGCGGGCAAACCTAGACCATACACCCTATGGGTGAACCCGACAATCAAGGAGGCTCTGAGCGAAAGTCTGTCTTTAAGCAGTTTCCACTTGGAGCCCCTGCAAGAACTGACCGTGAACCTTGAAACTGTTCCAGATGTCAAGTTGTCTGCCTGGTTCTTAGCCGGGAAACGGGAATGAATCCCTATAGTAGTCCCTTACGGCCGCGCTACCTGAATGGTCCCAAGCATTTGTGTTGTAGACTAGAAGTAGAGTTTCGGCAAGTAGGACTTAATAAACTATCCCCTCTTAAGACCCTTTGGGTTATAGCCGTCCCTGTGACCAATTCCCCCCATTCCCTAAGCCCTAAGCCCTAAAAACCCTTTGTAAACTTGAAACCCTAAAAACCCTTTGAAGCCTAAACCCTGAAGACCATTTAAACCCTAAACCCTAAAACCCCTGTGAACCCCTTAACCCTGTAAACCCTTTGAACCCTTATGACCCTAACCGAACCTCAAACCCCAGTCCCTAAACCCTAAACCCCCCAAACCCTGAACTCCTAAACCCTAAACCTCCCTAAACCCTAAACGCCCAAACCCTGAAATCTAAACCCTAAACCTCCCTAAACCCCCAAACCCTGAAATCCTAAACCCTAAACCCCAGCCCCTACTAAGAACCATGGAGTCGTCTTTGGGGGCCAGGGCTCAGAGGGCTCAGGTTTCCAGGCGGCCTAGGGTTTGCGGTTTAGGGCCTAGGGTTTGTGGTTTAGGGTTTAGGGCCTAGGGTTTGGGGTGTAGGGCCTTTAGTTTGGGGTTTAGGGTTTAGGCTTTAGTTTGGTGTTTTGGGCCTGGGGTTTGGGGTTTATGGCCTAGGGTTTAGGGTTTAGGGTTTGGAAAGGGGGGAGGGCAAGAGTCTTCAATATTGCTTCTAGGGCTTCAGAACTCACCTTGAACCCTACAACACGTTGGCTTTCAGGGCTTAGAGTGTGGGCATGCGAACTCGGGCAGCTACTTGCAATCTGCCGCGCTTTAGGGTTTAGGGGCCACACCCCCAACTTGTATGGCTTAAGGCGGATGCTATCGCACCCCAGGGTCAAAGAGAATGAGGTGCTGGTGCCTTGGGTAGCTAGGGCCCATAGACGAGAAAAGATTGCAATGCGCCAAACATCTAAACTCCGAACACGCATTGTGCTTGTTCTTGGTAATTATGGTTTCGGGCTTTCAGGCAATGCCGGATCTGCAGTATGAATGCGCCCGTGTATTGTAGCTCAGGTAACATTGCTTCGCTAGTTGTTTAGGGTTTAGGGTTTAGGTATTCATCACCGAGTTTTAGTCGTGTGCATAAACCCAACACCCGACAATGACGCCGTAAATTCCCAACTCAGTTCAACCCCAGAGTCGATTAAACCTCAAACCCTCGAATTTGACACTGACCCTGTAAGCCCTAAGCCCTACAGACCCTAGACCCTATAAGCCCCATAAACTCTATAAACCCCAGACCCCAGAAGCCCTAAGCCCTATAAACGCTAGACCCCATAAGCCCTAAACCCTATAACCCTAAACCCCGAAGCATCAAAAACCGAAACCTATGAAAGCTTGGACACTCGCTCGTTCCACGGTGTCGGCTCTCTGAATAGATCTGGTGAGCAAATCTGAGGTTTCCTGGGAACGTTGTCTCTCGGGTCTCCTACTTTAGGGTTTCGCGTCTATGGTTTCTGTTGGGTTCAGGGTGTTGTGATTCCACACGAGTTTCCCATTGATTCCGGGTCTCTGTTCCGGTGCCGTCATATCTGAAACTCTTATATCATGGATGCCAGCTGCAGCCGCGGAGGCAGCGGGAGGCATGCAGTGTCTTTTTGGGACTTGCACCGCATGCTGGCTGACTGCTACATCGCGGACATCGCGGAGCATCAAGGCTACGGAGAGCCACACCCAGGCCCCAAGGGTCCATGTACCTCATATATATATATATATTTGTTTATTTATTTATTTATATTTGTATATATATATATACTTAAAAGCGGTTCCTTCATAGTAGGCACCTTATGGCCGAAGTACATGGACCTTTCCAGACAATGAAAAGAGACGCCCGAAGCAAATCCAACCGAAGCCACGCAGAAGCAGCCCTAACTGTAGTGCTTGTTCTCGAGTTGCACCAAGACAGACCCCGAAATGCTCGAAGGCCCGCTCAAACCCACAGGGTCCCAAGTACTGATAGAGTAGAAACCAAGGTTTTTTTACAGTAGCCGTGGGAATTGCTTCGATGGTTTAGGTAAGTATCCCACTCATAAGTAACCCTAAACCCTACACCCTAAACGGGTGCTATGGGATTCTATAACAGGCCCTCTGGGGATCCAAAAACCTACCGTTTTAGGGTTTAGGGTTCAGGGTTTTGTTTTTGGGGTTTAGGGTTTAGGTTGAAGCCTCTAAGTTTCAAGGGTTAACTATGCTTATATCGTATACAACTACTTGGGGGAGGGTCGCGGCTCTTAGTAAGTAGCTGTTTTATAGACATATAGACACCACAACCCCAATTAGGAGCCCATTTACGTACGTACTAGGTCCTCCGGCCCTCCAATGGTCCGAGTAAGGGGTCGTAACCTACTAGTTTTTTGAATAGGGTTTAGGGTTTAGTTTTTAGGGTTAAGGGTTTGGGTTTAGCGTTTAGGTTTTTTGTTTAATAGTGTTTAGCGGCTATTTGGGGATGCAGACAACTGAACTACAAAGGGTTTTGCTGTCAATGGCTTCTATCCCACATAAGCTTCATGCTGCATATCTTATATAGGGCCTATGGTATGAGGATCTAGAATCTAGAGCCCTAAACCCCAAACCCTAAACCCCTAAACCCCTAAACCTTAAATTCTAAACCCCTAAACCCTAAATCCCTAAACCCAAAACCCTAAACCCCTAAACCCAAAACCCCAAACCCCTAAACCCCCCATGTTTTCAAGGGTAAGCTCATCTTGCAGGTCCCTGGAGAGATCTTTCGGGGCCTCAGCGCTTTGGCTCGCGGCGCAACAGCAGCCTCTTTGGGCAAAGTGAACAAGAAGCTTAGATAGCCATTGAGTTTAAGGTTTTTTGGTTTAGGAGTGGGGGGAGGGGAGCTTTAAACTTTTTGGCCTTATGTGTTAGGTCTTTCCTAAAAAGTTTGAAGTTGTTTCGACCTGGCAATTGAAGAAGAGAGGAAAGCTTCCATCATTCCGTCGCGAGCCAGAATGAAAGACGGAACAGCAGGCGGATGAGCATATGCATTGCAATGGAACAAGAGGTGCCCGATGTCCCGGGGGTTCATGTACATCCACCGGCCACCTTTTCCACACCGGATCCGCCAGCTGGAACACCGCAGTTCACAGAGATGAAGTCAGACGAAGTACTGCATGCCTTGAACCTTGGGCCACGGTTTAGGGTCTAGGGTTTGGGGACCCAAACGAGCCTTAAAAGTAGGAGTTTCTCTACCCTGATACTATGAATCCCCATATGGCATCTGAACCTTAAGCCCTTTTAGGAACGCTGAGCCTTTTCCCCAAAACCCTGAAAGCCTCAAACCCTAAACCCCAAAACCCCAAAACGCCCTAAACCCTAGACCCTTTAACCCTAAACCCCAAAACCCTAAAGCCCCAAACCCTAAACCCTTTGACCCTAAAACCCCAAAGCCCTAAAACCCCGTCTTCAAGGAAGCGTCTCCACCGTTCTGGAGTTGGGTCGGAGTTCTCAGACTCTGGGTTTTACCTATAGTCTCCATTGTAGTTCCTTTTTTAGGGTGTAGGGATTTAGGGTTTAGGGATTTAGGGTTTAGGGTTTAGGGATTTAGGGTTTAGGGTTTAGAGATTTAGGGTTTAGGGTTTAGGGTTTAGGGCTTATAGTCTCCATTGTAGTTCCTTTTTTTGGTTTAACCAATTTTGTATTAAGGATCCTAAAAGGTAACCCCAAAAAGGAACTACAATGGAGACTATAGGTAGAGTACCATAACTTGAACACTTTTTTTTTTGGACCTGTTCCTTAAAGGAACCCTTGTAAAATAGAAGTCTATCCATTTTTCTCTTTTTGGACCTGTTCCTTAAAGGAAAAGATTATAAAATAGAAGTCTATACTTTTTTTCTCCCTGGCTACTTCAAAGACCAGGACTCGGAGTCGGATGTAGACGCCGGCAAGATCCAACTGCAAACCCACCTCTGCTGGCAGGAGGATGCCCAGGCCCCAAGAGGTTTAGGGGTTTAGAGGTTAGGGTTTAAGGTTTCGGGTTTAGGGTTTGGGGGGTTTAGGGTTTAGGGTTTGGGGGTTTAGGGTTTAGGGAGGGTTTATAGGGTTTAGGAGAAACCCTACCTTCTACTATATCATAGGTACTTAGGAACCCTCAAAGGAACCCTACATAAGCCCGTAAAGGCACCCTTAAGGGAACCCTTATAGTGACCCTTAAACGATCTCTTAAGGGACCCTTTGAGAGGTGAGAACCACGCAGCAGAAATCAAAGAAGCTGGCCAGCATGGATCCAACCGCATCCTCGAACCTGGCAGGTCATTTCCCGTTCCGCTGTGATCAATCCCGCTGGGTTTAGGGTTTTCCTGGACCCTAAGTACCTACCTTGTTAGGGTTCCGTATTTTGAGTCTCTTTATAATTTATATATTTGGGGTTAAGGTAGGGTTTAGGGTTTGGAATGTCGTGTTCAGGGCTTCCTTGTGTTCTTAACCCTCTATTGTCGTGCCGCATCGTATTATATCTTTTGGACAGCAGTGGGGCGTGCTGCCGCGTTGTCGGGTGTTGAATATGCTCAACTCGTCGGTAAATATCTTGTCCTGCGTCGTGCACTCCGCAACATGTTGTAGCTTCTGGACTCGCATCTACATGTGTGTGGCTTTATGCTGTGAAATATGCCAGGCACAAGCAGTGCATCAAGATCAAGCACTTGCATGATGCTGCATCCCAGCGGTACCTTCCGGTCTTGCTGGAACTTGCTGGTGGCTGCCGGTGTAATGTTCGACCTTGTTGTCACTCCCTTGCCTCTTGGTATGATGGTTTAGGGTTTAGGGGTTTAGGGGTTAGGGGTTTAGGGTTTAGGGTTTATGATTGGCAGTAATTTGTTCTGCTTTCCTGGCAAACTAAACCCTGAACCCCTGAACCCCTAAACTCTACACCCCTAAACCCCTAACCCTATATCTGCAACCGCACTGTAGCTCGCGGCACCCTTGAGGCTTGTGTTTTCACTTCCGAGCTGGCTGTCCAGATATCCGGTGTCGCTTGTGGTCCACCTTTTTTGGAGCGTTGACTTTGTGCTCACCTTCCTCACCGGCTACTACCAGAAAGGCTTCCTCATCATGGAGCGTTGCAAGGTTGCGCGAAACTATGCTCAGAGTTGGATGTGCCCTGATTGCACAAGGTTTTCGGGCGTCATGCTTTCAGGCGGTTGCTTTGGGAATTCGACGCTCGTAGTGTTTCTGATGGACTCATCTGACAGCTACAAATCCTCCTTGAGGTCAGGCCCTTCCTGCAGGTTTGTTCTTGAACTCCAGACTTTAGGCGTGTACCGTCCAGCGTGCCTGTTTATGCTACAGATCCCACTATAGGCGCATCTCTCTGTGTGCATCTTAGCACTGCTTCAGCATGTGACGTGTCTTGGCTGTCAGTTATGCTGAGCAAAGGCTCCCCAAAGCCTGAACCCCCCCTCCAAAATCATATCTACCGAAAGGCTCCAAATAGACTACCATCGTGGAATTAGGTCCCAAAAGACCATCCTTATTGTTTGTGGTATATATGGAGCCTCTAGGTAAGAACTGCTGAAGACCGTGACCCTATTGATCGCGGTACACAGAGGATGATTTTGAAAAGCCTTAAATCCTACTTCCGAAGCCTTAAAACTGTACGGGAGATTAGTGGGAAAGAGCCACGGGACGTGGTGTTTCATATCACCCTAAACCTTAAACATGGTTTAGGGTTCAGAGGACTCATACTCCAAATCCAAAGCCCGGATTGAGGATGCTTGTGGGACTTTGGAAGTGCTACTGCTGGACAGTCAGAAGGCTTAAACCCGAAACCCACTGAATTGCTTTAAGCTAGGCAAGGATTTAGGGTTAAGTTTCGAGCTTGCAGGGTGTGTAGGGTTAGGGTTCACCGGGAACCCTAAACCCTAAGCCCTTTAGGTTTTGGAGCCCAGGCTCTTTGATTTGGTCTTGATCCTCATTGACTGGATTGTCGACATTCTGGATCTGCTGACTGCAGACAGCACCCTAGCCACATAGTCCTAGGTAGTATTAGGGAGACCCCTTAAAGGGGACCCTTCTCTCCCTAAGGGTCCATGCACCCAAATAGTATATACATTGGCCCTAAAGTACCTAGATAGGGACTACTCTTAAAGGGGACCTTATTGAGAGGGTCTATATCCCTTTAGGGTCCCCCTAATCCTAACTCCCACATAGGGAGCCCAAGACTTCCAGGGCTTTAGGGTTTTAGGGTTTTAGGGTTTAGGGTTTTAGGGTTTTAGGGTTTTTTAGGGTTTTAGGGTTTTAGGGTTTAGGGTTTTAGGGTTTCGACATTAGCTAGTTGATCATACTCTTGGTGATGTAAATCCTGCAATACCTTAAGGACCCTAGACTATGGGAGTTGTGGTATATTCAGTATATTCCTGATTAATATGTACTGCAGGCTGTTATATCATCAACCGTAGCGTGTCTGTTTGCGGAGTACGACGTACTCCACAGACCCCTTCAGGTTCTTGGCACCAAGGCCTTGTAAGCCGTTGAGAGTTGAGAGTCCAAATCTGGACCCCTAGGCCTATGGGGCCGAAGGGTCCATAAGATACCAACCTATTTCGCTACTAGCCATAAATCGGTTTCTTTGATACCAATATCGGGTCCAAAGTGGATGTTTGGGAAAGCCCTCTAAGCGCTTGAGAGGCCCATCGTCCGTTAGTCGTTCTGTGCGGATGCTGCGGCTTCTGCGTCTGGTGCGTGTCATGCGAGCGATCAAGCTTCGACGCGGCTTCACGGCAATGCAGGACACAGCAAGGGCGAGCTTGGGGTCTTAACTTGGATGCGGTGTACCCCAAAGAATCCCTCTAGTTGTACTTAACCTTAACCCAAAGGCTCGAAGGACTCGTCCATGAAGGCTGTTGGGCCCAAAGACCCATACTATTTCAGGCTTTTGGGCTGTCTTGAGCCTCAGGGGACAGGCCGTTGTATGGGACTTTCCGAAAATTAGGGTAACCTTATTTTGGGGTCCTTGTAATAAGGATCCTACTACTCAGGGTGCTATATTAGGGTCCCCTACATATTTTCGGAAACCCCCAGATTGGGAGTTCAGGATTCCAGGCTTGAACTTCGGGTCTTGGCCGGGGCCATTAGAGGTCGATGTCCTAAACCCTACTTTAAACTACCAAAACCTACTTTTTTGTAGGGTCTCTATAAATTCCATATTGGGGTTTATAATACGAACCTACAAAAAAGTAGGGTTTGGTAGGTTAAGGTCAACATTACCGAACAAGACGCTGGGCAGGCAGTGGGTACCTGACCACCGTACATGGATTACATGCGCATCCTCTGGGCTTTAGGGCTCGGAAGATTTAGTAGCAAGATCCTCTAATGGTCCCTCATACAGATAGTTGTCGCATAAACCCTGCTCCTGCCTCGGCAGGCCCGTATATCAGGGTTTTTATCTTCAACGCGATTTTGCCCAACAGGATGTCATCCACTCTCAGAGTGCCAGCTTGTACCTGAACTTTATGGTAAGCCTTGGTCAACTTCTGATGCTGGTTCACTGGGTAGCCTGTGGCTGGTTTGGGGTGACTTGGCTACACACCGAGAACTGGGTGGCATCCAGTGACTTACGTTTCCGGGATTCGTTCTTCCAGTATCTGACATGTGTTCTGTGGGCCTTCTGTCAATTGGGTGTGGGCGAGAGCCCGTGGCAGCCGACGAACACAACCGAAATGATGCTGAACAGTGTTATCGCTTTCACGGCTCTGATCACCGCTGCCATGCTCATCAGCACGATGGGTGGCCTCATTGCAGGGCTACGGAAACTCCATGAGGACGAGAAGACAGAGTTTAGGCTCCTGCGTCTGGGCTCTTGTTACGGGATTTTGTTTAAGTTGCCATAATTGGGATCTATAGTAGATAATATGGTTTCTTTATTATGGTAACTTAAATTGAATCCCCTAACAAGAACCCAGGCGTCGGTACTTGCAGAAGCACGACATTCCTCTGGATCTTGGCCATCGGGTGACTCAGTTCCTAGAGTATCAGTACACGGAGAGGCAGCTTGCCCGCTCGTCGCAGATGCAGGCTCCTTGTCTCTGAGGGTTCGTTCGGGAGTTTGAATAAAGGCGGGTGAAGGTCTAGAGGTCGTAGATCAAACGTTTGGATGTGGGGCAATGAGACTGGTAGAACAACACGAGGCTGTGCTGATGTCGGGAACTGAATGATTCGAACACGGTTTTGGAGAGCATTATAGCACAACGCTATAAAGAAGCCTAGGGGTCCAAGTATCTAATAATCATATACTCTCCCACAGGTTCACCCTAGATAACTACTATCCACAACCAAAGTACCTTACTATTGGGTCCTCTGGACCCTTTCAGGGGAAATGGTATTATGACGTAGCTATGAACCGCAAGGCTCCAAGTACCCACATAGTAGGGTTTTGGGTGCCAAAAAAACCATTCAGAGTTATGAAATTTGGGACCTGAAACCCTACTGTTTGGGTAATTGGACCCTTTGGGATCACGTTTCTGCATTACTTACAACCAGGTAACCCGCAGTCTGATCATCCCCTGTTCCTGATAGCATCGCGGCACCTGACACATGGACTCGGGTCCTGATGCTTTGGTTTTGGGTTTAGGGTGCTCCTTGCTATCATTCAATTTCTCTTTACCGGTCCAGAAAAAGAGGTTGGTTTTCAGTGAGCGCGGTCATCGCAAATGCTTAGACAGAAAAGTGGCGCCACAAGCCCGCAACACCAAAGCCTAATCTCGTTCAGCCTACGGCTGGAGTCCAGGAGCCCTAAACCTACGAAATCCTAAACCCCTAAACCCTACGTAACCAACTTCATAAGCTTTGAAACGCAAAAATCCGAAGAATCCTCAACCCTCAGTCTCAAACTGCAAATCTCAGACTTCGTAAGCCCTCAGTACAGAATTTCTCAGCACCATATATCCCGACATTGAATCCCAAAACACATCAATCCAAGAATTCCCAAACCCTAAACTCTAAACCTGAAGCCCCCCAAGCCTGCAATCCGGTTGATGATATAAATCTGCATTACCCAGAATATAAAAATATACCATAGTTCCCATAGTTTAGGGTCCTTAAGGTAATGCAGGATTCATATCATCAACAGGTACTTTCACTAATGCTTTTTTTTTGGGGGGGGGGAGTCGTAGAATTACAGTATGATATGCCCCACCTTATTATTAAGGCCCCTATCTTCTTGAACCCTACTAGTAACCCCTGAAGGAACCCCTTTAAAGGACCCCAAGAGACCCTCCCTGTTCTAATCATCCAGGCCCGGATCCTAAACCCTAAGCCCTAAACTCTAAACCCTCAAACCCTAAACCCTAAACCCCCTAAACCCCAAACCCCTAGAACCTTAAACCCCTAAACCCTTCGGACTGCAGGTGCCCCTCCTCGACCTCCTCTCTCGGCCGATGCTTCCAGACTATATCACCCTACTAGGTCCCCCAGTAGTATAGGGTTTAGGGTTTAGGGCTTAGGGTTTCAGGGGTTTTCTAGGTCCCCCAGTAGTACCCTTTTTGCCCTTTTTGGTTTGGGGGTCTCCTGATTAAAACCAAATAGTAGGAAAAAGGGTACCCTTTTTTTTCCGGTGTTACTGGAGAACCTGGCCTAAGGCTCAAACTCGCCCAAAGTGCCCCAGTACCTATACATGGTTGGTCCAACCTGTCTGCCCCCCTTTCCAGTCAACGGTCCCAATTTTTTGATAGCACAAATGATCTTCATGCGTTGCCACCGATAGGACAGACCCATCCCCGTTCCAAAAGCCTTCTGTTTTTTGACTAAACCGGTATGTAAAGTCTCGGAGTCAACTCCCACCCAAATCCCCTGGACCCCAAACCGTCACCACAGGTTGCAAGGGCTCCATATATGCGGCCAAATTATGGAATTAGCCTCCTAAAACCACAGCAAGGATGGTCTTTTGGGACTTTATTCAAGAATGGTAGTATATGTGGAGCCTCTGGGCACAGGTCATAAAACCCTCAAGCCCTAAACCCTAACCCCCTGAGCTCTGAACCCTCAGGTTCCAAGAGCACCAACAAAGCACGGCACCCTTATAACGAGGACCCTGGAAGGGACCCTCCTTTAAAGAACTGCCCATAACCGCTCCATGTATACTAGCGCTCTGTCCCGAAACCCTGAAACCTCAGCCGTACCCAACGGGTCCAAGTACCTAGTGATCATATACTTTCCCGATGTTCACCTAGATTACTATCCGCAACCAAAGTACCTTATCAGGGCCGTTAGGGGTATAGTGGCAGAACCATAGGTTGCAAGAGCTCCATTTTCAGCAGCATCGTGTGGCACTCTGCAAAATCGGTGCGATCAAGGCCGGGTCGTGAGCCGATTTCCGTGCTTTGTGATCCCCTAAACCCTTTAGGGCGGGTTTAGGGCTTTGGGTTTAGGGTTTAGGGCTTCGGGTAGGCTATGTGCAATAAACGGGGAACTATACCTAACATGGTTTAGCGGTCTAAAACTGGGTTAGTTCTTTGATGTCGCTTCATTGTTGGTGGCCCTAGGTAAACCTCGTTTCTTCAAGTGTTAACCCCAAATCACCAAGGATTCAAGCACAGGCGTATATTGCTTAACGATTACACCAGAGACTTAGGGCTCCTCAGGAACCACGTTGGTGAGTGTACATTTTGGGTGTAGATTGGGGGATGCTTGTAGGGAAAGCCTTACGTCGATCATATCATAATGCAGCCGTGGCAGATCGGAGGCGCTTAGGGGCAAATGTCGGCTATTTATTGACATGGCACGGGAGTCAAATATTTTGTCCGATGTGTTCTGACCAGATTAAAACCACAAGCCATTTTCAGCAATACTTACATTAGCAGAGCAACCTGTAGTCGTACAGGCTTTCGTACAGGCTTTCTTGCTCTCTGGGTTAAGCTCCCAGCAGTTTGTCCTTCCTGGTAATGTTTTGGGTGTTTCTGCAGGGAATACTTACATCGTACGTACACATATGTGCATTCTACGGTTGAGGATAAAAGCCCTGCATTACCCTCAATAAGGAATATACCATAAATCCCATGGTTTGGGGTCCTTAAGGTCATGCAGGATTTCTGCCATCAACAGTATTTCTAGCTATTCCGAGTGACTCTGCGTATCAGGCGGTTTAACACTGGAAGCTGCAGGAACCTCCGAGGTAGGCTAAACGGAGCATCGCGAATCGCAAAGTATGCTTGCACCCAATCTGAAATCCCAAGCCGAAAACCCCCAAACCCTAAACGCCTCATCCCTTAAACCTTAACACCAAGCCAAACCCTAAACCCCCAGTTCCCAGAGCCGCTAATATGAAAAATCCTAAACCCTAAACCCCTAGACCCTTAAACCCTTAAGCCCTTAACCCTTAACCCCAAGGCGAAACATCCCTAAACCCCTAAACCCTTAAACCCCTAAACCATTGACCCCAAGCCTCAAACCCCTAAGCCCTAAACCCAAACCCAAGACCCTAGGGGTGTTGGTGCCTCCAACCTTGAATGCTAAAGCTTAACGGTTTAGCGTTTAGGGTTTGGGGATTAGGGTTTAGGGTTTCGGGACCTGTATCATTACCAAGTATCGGTAGTTCCTCTAAATCAGGGTCCCTTTAGGTTCCCAAAAATAGAGCGGCACCCTTACAAACGGGACACTGAAAGGGGCCCTAATTTAGAGAACTAGGCACATGCAATAATATGGCATACCCCCCGAACTTATTATGGTACTAAGTTCTAAGCTGACCCTAAACCCTAAACTCTAAACCCCAAAACTCTTAATCCCTGAACCAACCCAAAATCCCAAATGAACCAAAACTCGATTCTTAGACGAGTTCAGGCCTTGCTGACAGAGGACGATGCGGCTTGTCAGCTCGGGGGGCTTAGGATTCACTTCGACGATTAAGGGTTTAGGGCTATGACGGTTGAGGGTTTAAGGTTTAGGGTTTAGGGCTATGGGTTGTGTATTTTGGGTTTAGGGTTTTCGGTTTAGGCTTGTTGCTTTGGGGTTAACAGCTTGTGATTATGGGTTGAATCATAACCTTTTCTAAACATGCACTTGTAGATTCGTTGGGGTTCAGGTAGGGGCTTACCATGGACTTTGGGCTTGTGGCTCGTGGGTATTGCATCTATGGTCGGTTTGGGATTTCGAGTTTGTGGATCCGAGGGGTCGAGGTGGCGCTCAGTCCGGGATTTGCGTCAACACTGCCCATAGGCCCCCAAGTAGTTCCTTTTTGGGATTACCTTATAGGATTCTAAATATAAACCATAACAGGAACCACTTAGGGGCCTATGGGTAAGGTGGTTGACTACAAAATCTAGGGTGGTCGCAAACGTGAGTTCCAAACAGTCTTACGTTTCAGGGCTAGAAGCTCATGGGGCTTGTCTAGACGGTAATATTGGGGCCTTGATAGTTAGAATAGGGTTTGGGGTACAGTAT